TCAATGAAGTCAGTGAATCATTAGACATGGGGCATGTGAAGTCTTCATTAAAGTCAGTGAATCATTAGACATGTGGCATGTGAAGTCTTCATTATAGTCAGTGAATCATTAGATATGGGGCATGTGAAGTCTTCATCATGTTCAATGAAGTCAGTGAATCATTAGACATGGGGCATGTGAAGTCTTCATTAAAGTCAGTGAATCATTAGACATGGGGCATGTGAAGTCTTCATTATAGTCAGTGAATCATTAGATATGGGGCATGTGAAGTCTTCATTAAAGTCAGTGAATCATTAGATATGGGGCATGTGAAGTCTTCATTGAAGTCAGTGAATCATTAGATATGGGGCATGTGAAGTCTTCATTGAAGTCAGTGAATCATTAGATATGGGGCATGTGAAGTCTTCATTGAAGTCAGTGAATCATTAGATATGGGGCATGTGAAGTCTTCATTATAGTCAGTGAAGTGAAGTCTTCATTGAAGTCAGTGAATCATTAGATATGGGGCATGTGAAGACTTCATAAAAGTCAGTGAATCATTAGATATGGGGCATGTGAAGTCTTCATTGAAGTCAGTGAATCATTTGATATGGGTATGTAAAGTCTTCATTGAAGTCAGTGAATCATTAGATATGGGGCAAGTGAAGTCTTCATTGAAGTCAGTGAATCATTAGATATGGGGCATGTGAAGTCTTCATTATAGTCAGTGAATCATTAGACATGGGGCATGTGAAGTCTTCATTGAGGTCAGTGAATCATTAGACATGGGGTATGTGAAGTCTTCATTGAAGTCAGTGAATCATTAGATATGGGGCAAGTGAAGTCTTCATTGAAGTCAGTGAATCATTAGATATGGGGCATGTGAAGACTTCATTGAAATCAATGAATCATTAGATATTGGGCATGTGTAGTCTTCATTACAGTCAGTGAATCATTAGACATGGGGCATGTGAAGTCTTCACTGAAGTCAGTGAATCATTAGATATGGGGCATGTGAAGTCTTCAATGAAGTCAGTGAATCATTAGACATGGGGCATGTGAAGTCTTCATTAAAGTCAGTGAATCATTAGATATGGTGCAAGTGAAGTCTTCATTGAAGTCAGTGAATCATTAGATATGGGGCATGTGAAGACTTCATTGAAATCAGTGAATCATTAGACATGGGGCATGTGAAGTCTTCATTAAAGTCAGTGAATCATTAGACATGGGACATGTGAAGTCTTCATTGAAGTCAGTAAATTATTAGATATGGGGCATGTGAAGTCTTCATTGAAGTCAGTGAATCATTAGACATGGGGCATGTGAAGTCTTCATTGAAGTCAGTGAATCATTAGATATTGGGCATGTGGAGTCTTCATTAAAGTCAGTGAATCATTAGATATGGGGCATGTGAAGTCTTCATTGAAGTCAGTGAATCATTAGATATAGGGCATGTGAAGTCTTCATTGAAGTCAGTGAATCATTAGATATGGGGCATGTGAAGTCGTCATTGAAGTCAGTGAATCATTAGATATGGGGTATGTGAAGTCTTCATTGAAGTCAGTGAATCATTAGATATGGGGCATGTGAAGTCTTCATTGAAGTCAGCGAATCATTAGACATGGGGCATGTGAAGTCTTCATTGAAGTCAGTGAATCATTAGACATGGGGCATGTGAAGTCTTCATTGAAGTCAGTGAATCATTAGACATGGGGCATGTGAAGTCTTCATCATGTTCAATGAAGTCAGTGAATCATTAGATATTGGGCATGTGAAGTCTTCATTAAAGTCAGTGAATCATTAGATATGGGGCATGTGAAGTCTTCATTGAAGTCAGTGAATCATTAGACATGGGGCATGTGAAGTCTTCATTGAAGTCAGTGAATCATTAGACATGGGGCATGTGGTCCATGTTTTGTCATATGATTTGTCTTTCTGTGATTAAATGGCCTCATCTTGTTAATCAGTTTGTTAGTATTGACTGAGGACAAACAAACACACACAATGTGGTCAAACTGATATTACAAAAATGGTCCTGCTAATGTATGGGTTTTGCTCATTTGTATGTAGTGACCTATAGGTGCTAACATCTACATCATTTGGTCTCTAGTGGATAGTTGTCTCTATTGGCAATCATACCACATCTTATTTTTATATGTCTCAATCTTTTATTTAATTTTGGTCATTAGCAAACCTATCCAATAGAATATTTAGTTATACAAATTTTCACGAAAAAACATTTTTATCCATATATTTTTTTAAAGTTTAATCAGCAGAAATACTGTCTGAGACATTTTTCTCATAATTCTCCAAAACTACCAAGCACTGTGCAAAATGATGATTTGGATAAATGTAAATCTACTTTTTCAAATATGTATCTTCAAGATTCAAAATTAATACATTTAACTGAAACTCAATTATTAATTTTTTGTAACTATTTTAGAAACCTTATTTTACCATGTTTACTGTCCATTTCAAATACTTCACATATAAATACAACTTTAACCAACAATACAGGGTAACATTTTTACTGGGTAAAAAAGTTTTGTTCAACTGAACAATATTGTATTTAATAAAAATTCATAAACTATTTGTTGTAAGTTACAAGCATTACTAAAAAATTCCCATAGCATGCTTTCAATTCATAAAACAAAATAATCTCACTTACATAAAATAGCATTAAGTATCTTCCTTAGATAGATAATATGAAACATGCATTTAAATCAATGTTTTATGCTTTATTGAATATGAACCAATTATAATCAATTTAAACGTAAATTTGTACATATAAAATAGCAAATAAGTATGGTAGTATTTATTACACATACTTTCCAATATATTGTCATTTAAAATACATTGAGTTTTAAGTTTATCTGTTTTAAATGATAAGGTATATATTTCAAATATTTCTTCATAGCAGCTTAAGAATTAACACATTTTTAGTCAATAAGACCATTGTATACAATGTTCCAGTATGTAAAAATATACAAGATGAAGACATGGGACCTGATAATAACAGTGAAGTAGCTCACTTAGGTTTTAGCCCTGTGAGCTAATTAGAAGTTTCATCTCTATATATTACACATCGTAGCTTCATTAATGCTTGTCTTAAAGGAAACTTTTAGTATATGCTGAACAAAAAGAGAAACACATATATCTAAGATATTGCTACTGATGTTTACTATGGGATATAAATAATGAAAAAAGTGAGATCTATATAAATAATAACATAATTACACTAATTGTTGAAAATCCAAGGCAGGTAATGCTTCAAGTATCCTTGATAGCGTGTCTGTCATACTGATTTGGCTTATATTACTGGGCATTTATGGGCAATATAGTTATACCAAACAATACTTTATTCTTATGAAGAAAAAAAAATAAACAAAAAATATGGTTTCTCTTCAACTTTTTTATCAGTATGTTTCATTTAATAATGTTGCCAAATTGTTTACCTAGTTAATAAACAAATCAACAGGACACTTTGGGAATTTCTCTGCTATATACCAACAATAACAGGACACTTGGGGAATTCACCGCTATGTACCAACAACAGAATTAATGAAGAACTATTCACATTTCTCTAACAGTAGGATGATTGCATGATTCCCCTACAGATTTTACTGCTGGTCCATATTATGCAAATCAAACATAACTAATACACTGAATATCTCAATACCTTTCAATCAAACTATTGGTTTTCTCTTTTGAATTGCTTTACATTTTTCATACAGGCCATTTTTATAGCTTACCAGAGAACTAGAGGGTATGGGTTTTGCTCATTCTTGGATCAATTGCCTTGACCTTAACGGATTGATACTTTAGTCTGGGAGACCATGATTTATTTTTTACATGTACATGTAGTTTTATTGGCTTTGAACTAGCTTTCGAAGACTGTGAGTACTCTTAGAGTACTTTGTGTCTGTTTTAATCTTAGTTGTTTTTGTGCTTCATACCAATCTATCGAGTGAACTCTTTTCCAATTGTTTTTTACAGATTGTTCTGTTATACCACTGTACCAGGTTAGAGGGAGGGTTGGGTGCTCACAGACATGTTTATCCCTGACACATTCTATATGTGCATGTTCCAAGTCAGTAATTTGGTAGCTGTCTTTGGTTCATGTCTGCCATACCGGTATTTGTTTTTCAATAAATTTTAAGGACTACTTAAATCTAGACTGCATGAATTTTACTTGATTTATTTCACATTTTGTCATGTCTTTTATAGCCTTCTATACATATGGTATGTGTTTTGCTCATTATTGAAGACCTTTAAGGTGACCTATCTTTGTTTACATCCACATCCTTTGGACTCATGTAGATAGTTGTCTCATTGGCAATCATACCATATCTCCTTATTTTTATATTGAAAAGTAATTGTTTATTTTAGCTGATTTCTAAAATATCTCCAGGAAGGCAGTAAAGACAAATGGACAGACTGATGAACAAAGAGTTGGAATAACAGATAGGTTGATGGATAGATGCCACATTTTATATGTTCCTCAGTCATGTTACAGTGAGGGAATATAAGGGGTCCAAAAAAGTACAACAAAAAAACTGAACTCCAAGGCAAATTCAAGAAGGGAAAGTCCATTAAAACTGACAAAATCAAAAGCTATCAATCAACGGAACAAGTGAAAAACAACTGCCATATTCCTGACTTGGAACAGGCATTTTCCAAGGAAAATCCACCAGGTGGGTTAAACCTGGGTTTATAGCAAGCTAAACCTCCCACTTGTATGACAGTTGTTTATAGTTCTGTTATATTGACAAAATTGGGAGAGCAACCCAAAAAGACATAATAGGTTAATTTTGATTAACTAAGATAAGTGTAATAGAATTCAAAGACTAATGATCATATTTACATATACTTGTGTAATTTCTCTTTACTTAATTCAGTGACAAAAATGAAACAATATTGTATAGACACCCAACTCATTACTGCAGTAAAAAGAAAACTTACAATAAATAGTCTACAATAAATACTTAATAGTCCAAATTTATCTCATGGAAATTTCTTACCATAAACTCAATTTCTATGGTTACATTTAATCTTCGACTAGACAAACTGGCAGTGTTGAAACTGTGCTGATCAATGCTTCACATGACTGTATCTAAAGATCAATTCTATAAAATATAAGATGGACATTATTATATAACAAAAACAGTAGACAAACATAAAGCTTGGTTGTTTGTGCTCTGCAGTGTGTAAGATTTGTTGCATATAGTGGATTGTCAAGTATAATCTTCCTAAAATTTGCCATTTTTTTTATGTTGTTCATATTTTACACTATCAACAGATGCAACAAGAATAGTTTCATTACTTCAATTCTGATCAATATATCTAAATAACTTCAATATTTAATTGTTTACATGAACTGAAGATTAGACTAAAGGATAGTGATGGGAGCCTGAAGGACTTGTCACGTGTTGATACATAATGTTGTGATGCAATTTTAGAAGAGATGAGGATTATTCTATTTGAACATAGTTTATACCAACCCTTTAACCTCTAGTTCAGAGCCAAAACAATTTGTGTTTGTTTTTTCCATGAATTATAAGGTACCATGTATTCAGAAATTATTGGGTTTTTTTATTCATGCAAATAATGTGACTCCTTCATTATCAGAATAATAGGAACTGGCATTCTGATATCTGATACATATATCTGTATAAAGCTTTTCCTAAAATAGCAATAATCAAACACACACTTTAGTTCATCCTTCAAAAATTACAATAACAAATGCAGGCAATAATTTCTAAATTTACAGTATATGCACAGAGTTTTCTATCAAGTTAAATAAACTTTTGCATAAAAATGTATAAGCTGAACTAAATTTATTACCGTGATCATCAACAGTTTTCTATTATGTGCAAATCACACCTTCTAATAGTGGAGAATAATAATACTTAGTTTAATCCCTGAACCCAAAGCCTTAAGGGTTTTTAAATAAGAGAAAAATATAGATTATTTTTTGTTAATATATCCAATGGCTAAGTTCCACTTGTAGGTTTCAGTTTTCTTTTTTTCTGTTTTGTGTTAAAACACTTTTAACTGTTATTGTTTTGAAGGCAATATCCATTTTTATTTGAAAGTCACTTAAAGTTCATAAATATCACGAGTACATGTATCTATCAATTCTAATTGAAATTGTTTTCGGAAGTTCTAGACTTTCAGGGCACTTTTGCCATGTCTACTACAGTTGTAAAGATATTTGACAATTACTTGTAATGTGCATTATCATTTGCACTCATACCACATCTTCTTATTTATATTATGTTCCATTTGAAATCATAGCAGCCATGTTGAAATATTGACCAGAATATAACTCAAAAACTAAAATCTAAATACATGTATATATCAAGGAGTTTGGATTTATCTTGCTTAGTTCTTTTAGATTCGTAGATCTTAGAAACAAAAATGCAAATAAAATGGTCCGCATGGCGCTTTATTTGACCGCAGATGTCTAACCCTGAACAGTAGGGTAAGTATGGGCACTACATTCAAGCTTGATACAGCTCTGAATTTGAATTGTGATTGAATATTTGACACGGCATAGGTTTCTGACACAGAATGAATGTGGTCAAACAACTGAAAAAATTGAAGTTGGACTTTTACCTATTATGGTCCAATATCCAAATCTAAATACATGGTTAGATTCAGCATATCAAAGAACCGCAAGAATTCAATTTTTAATGAAATCAAACAAGGTTTAATTTTGGACCCTTTGGACCTCAATGTGGACAATCCTGATAATGGGCCCAAATCCAAAATCCAAATACACTTTTAGATTCAGCATATCAAAGAACCCCATATATTCAATTTTTGTTGAAATCAAACAAAGTTTCATTTTGAACCTTAATGTGGACCAATTTAAAAACAGGGCCAAAATCAGAAAATTAAATACAATGTTAGTTTTCAGCATATCAAAGAACCCCAATAATTCATTTTTTGATGAAATCATACAAAGATAATTTTTGACCCTTTGGTCCTCAATGTGGACATATTTAAACAACAAACAAAGACAACAAAGACAACACCGACATCGTCATATTATTATACGACTGCTAAATTTTTTCGGTCGTATAATAATTTATAAAATAGTCCCTTCATGTAGAGAGCTCCAAATAACAGTCCATTGCTATGTTATGTCTTGATGATCAATTTCTGTCTATCATTAGAATAATTCAAGTTAAAGACAAAACCCTGAATTTGGTCAAAAAATGTTATTTATAAAGGGCAACTTATCCTGTATAGAGTCAATGCATGGTTTCAATCATATTGGCATTGTTATAGATCAAGTGTATAGTATTGTTAGTCAATTTAGCTGTTTACAGTTTTTGTCTATCACTTAATGTTTTTGTCACAAATGATAAAAATTTACTTTGCTAGCAGCAACAAAAATATCCATATTTTAGAAATTTGATTCTAACTGACTATTCTTTCTGCATTTTAGCCAACAATATAAAGAACACAAGCAGCATCATTCTAATTACTTAAATACTGTAACTTTTTGCACTTACATACCTCAACTATTCAATCAAATAGCTTTTTTAATGTTTAAATTCAATTCACTACTTTTGATAATAGCATTAATAAAAAGGAAACAATTAACTTGTCAAAGGCATTCAGTGTATCAGCAAGTATTTTTTTTCTTTTTCTCAGGAAGTCAACAACAGCCTATACAAATTGGTTCAACATTGATTTTTTGGGGCAATACCTTCAGGAGACCAAATCAACGTTTATTTATATCGTTTTCAATTAAAATAATGTTCTTCTCTTGGAAGTAAATGGATATTATAAAGATAAAGAGAACCGACTGTAACTGATTGTTCAAGGACTGACAGTTATCGATAAGTATACTAGCGGAAATTGAACATAGGATTTTATTTCCTCAATTTGGATGTCCCTGAAGCCAGAAGAAAGAACACATCTTTCAGACTCAGAATTCTAACGGCAAAGATATAATTGTGGAATAAATATGGTCCCATAAAATTCTTTACTGACAACGCATTTCCGTTGCTAGGAAGTTTCATCCATTTCTAACCATCAGAGTTATGATGTAAATATATTTTTTGGGCAAAGAATTGTTAGGGAATCAATAAGAGAATGCAAAGCAGTTTCATAGATAAAACTGATATATATACATTGTATATCATATATAACTCGTCTTAAATTTAGCCCAAGAATGTTAGATCTTCAAATTTGCGTTCGCAAATATTTTTTCTTCCCTCAGCGGGATTTGAACCCTTGCGTCTGTGACATCATGGCAACACCGCCTGCATCGTGTCCAGCCCCGTAGACCACTCGACCATATAAAAATATAGCTTTCGATGGTTGATGTAACGCCTTTCCTGGTCTGCTTTATCTAGGATTGTAACACAGTACATGATGTATAGTGGCAAGTAGAAGGTGTGCCTTTCAGATCAACTATTTTTGTCTGTCATAAAGGATGATAATGTTAATTACCATGCTGCCACATCAAATTTTTAATTTTATAATACACTTTTAAACATGTGACAACTTTATGACAGACATTTTCCATCGGATAACACATGGTTATACAGGGCTAACACCATATATAATATGTCTCAAATTTATATATATATGGTGTTAGCCCTGTATAACCACTGTTATCAGATGGAGAATGTCTGTCATAAAGTTGTTAGACGTGTATATATTATATATATATACAGAGCAGTTGCCTGATACATTAGGAATAAGTTACATGTACAAAGCAATTTGGTGGCTCAAAAACCAAAGGAAGCGAATGTATTTAAAATCTCTGTTTTATAATAAAGCATATATCATAAACTTCTGTGTAAATGACGCAATTTTTCTTTCATTGTTTATAAATGAAAGAGGATGTGGAGTATAATTAAACAGCAACCCAACAATTAATATGAAGAAAAAACAGAAGAGAAATCAAGAGGCCAACTTACAACCTTCATATGTTGACAAACTGTAAATCACTATTAGTCTAGACAAGTTATGAACAAATTTAAATAAACTACCAAAGTTCTGCTAAAAACATTTAATTCTTAGAAATACAAAATACACTATAATATAACTATAGAATACAACTGACAAGGTTCCTGACAGGTGGCATGATTAAACTATATTTTTTGGTTCTCTACCCCATTTCGTCTTGATAACAATGGAATTATGAAAGTAACATTAAACAATTTACAATAAATCTAGTAGAAAACTAGATGTGTTGGAACAACACAAATGGCCCCTATTGACAAAAAAAGCTTGAAACCATTTTTAGGTGTGGAAATTTGAGAATGAAAGTCTGTTATTTTCATGAAATTTTCAAAGTCCAAAAGCCAGTAATTTCAGCAAAAATCAACAGAGCGGAACCACACCATAAGCTCAACCTGTAACTCATCATAGTAGACTCACATACTAAAAATCAGCTCAATATATGACGGTGTTTAGAAAAAAAGTCTGAATAACTGTTATTTTCACAAAATGTTCAAAGTCCAAAGCCTGTTGTTTCGGCAAAAATACGCTGAAGGGAACCAAATGTAATCTTGATCTGTAACTCATCCTAGTAGACTCTCATACTAAAAATCAGCTCAATGAGTGAAGCCATTTAGAAAAAAAGTCCATATAACTGCTATTTTCATGAAATTTTCAAAGTCAAAAGCCCTAAAAATTAATTTCAGCATAATCAGCGGAGCAGAACCAAACATAAACTCAACTCATCATAGTTGACTCACATACTAAAAATCAGCTCAACCTGTGAAGGTGTTTAGAAAAAAAAGTCTGTATACCCTATATCGGTTTTTTTTCACGTGTGTTTAATTTTCGCTTTGTTCACGGTAGCTAAAGAAAAGCTAAAATTTGACCCCACGTAAATTTCCCTGCTTATTCCAAGATTTATCAAAATTTGAAAGTTTTATACATTATACTTCTAATTATGGAGTCTTTTGTGTTGTTCAACAGATCACAAGAATGAGCATACTTAATTATAATCTCTGTTTTCATAAAAATTAAATTGGCTAAATATACATGTCACACCTTTTGAAAACACAGCAATCAGATGTTAATTAGGGACGAGCTATTATATTGATAGGTGTCCTAACCCAAACAATAAAAAATAGAATAAAAATAAATCACTTTTACACAGTTATTTGTATATCTGTATTGATCAGATTTCTATTTCTAGCATGCCCCAATGTTCATAATTTACGTTCCTTAAAGTTCTCTAAATCGTGTACTTTCGTTTGTATGATTCGTATTTATTTGTGATCTATTACCTTGTCGGTCAATCAATTTTGTGTTATTCAGATCTTAACAATGCTAAACGTTATATTTTTGCGTGTATTTTCCCATTCAGCGAAAATTATACACAGTGAAAATTTAACCTGCCCATTTTGTCATGAAATCACGAAAAAAAACAGACACAAAAAAAAACGATATACGGTTACTGCAATTTTCAAAATATTAAGTTCAAAGTCTGTAATTTCAGCAAAAATCAGCCGAGCGGAACCAAACATACACTTGATCTGTAACTCATCATGGTAGACTCATATACTAAAAATCAGCTCAATGTGTGAAGGCATTTAGAAACAAGAATGCCTCACTCGCACTATCATTTTCTATGTTCAGTGGACCGTGAAATTGGGGTCAAAACTATAATTTGGCATTAAAATTAGAAAGATCATATTATAGGGAACATGTGTACTAAGTTTCAAGTTGATTGGACTTCAACTTCATCAAAAACTACCATGACCAAAAACTTTAACCTGAAGTGGGACAGACAGATGGACGGACAGAAAAACATAATGCTCTTAGATGGGGCATAAATATGTCTGTATAACTGTTCGTTATGGAATGACGGATGAGGGTAAAATTATATGGCCCCGACAACTTTGTTGTGGGGCCATAAAAATGCTTCCATTGTATATACCTTTTTAACTTGTTCTTCATGTCAAAAAGTCCATATTTGATGAACTTGTGTTGTTAATAGATATCATGATTCATTGATTATTGGTGTTTAACACAACTTTCAGTATTATTGGCTAATACCATGATGGACAGTTTTTTTTAGTGGAAGAAGTCGATGTGCCCCGAGAGAACAACTGACCTTCAGCAGGAAAACTGACAATCATTATCAATTAAGATTGGAGTCGATTATACCTGCCACTTGCTGGGTAAACCTAAGTGTTGGCAAGCTAGTGATACAGTAGATGAAATACTTAGACCACTTGGCCACCGAGGCCCCTAACAGATATCATGATAATTTCTTTTGTTGCTGTCTCACTGACATATACACTTAATAGTTAATATAACAAGAGTTAATATTCTATTCATTTGTTTTTAAACATCATCTTGTATGGAGGATAGTTATTATTTTTTTCATTTTCAATGTTACGGTAATACATTTGTATATCTTAAAAATTACTGGATAATTAATACTATATTATATATGTATATGATCGGAAACGGGCCCTATAATTGGATTTAATAAAGTATACACAATATCTTCTTATATTCATTAAATATAGAACAATTACAACAATCTATAATATATAAAGCCAAACCTGTTGAGATCACATGTTAACTTTAGCTAATGACTGACAATGTGGTAGGATCAGACAGAATCTAAGACTGATAAAACTTCAATCTACAAAAGAAAGCAATAAATGTTAAACTTGTCAAACAATAACTGCATACATTAAATAATTATGTGGGATAAATAATCATAAATATCATGATACCTATAAATATAAAGAAAAATAAATAGACCTATCTACCTTATACATTCCTTTTAATAGTTTGAACAGCACACTTTTTAACAGAAAGTGGGAGGATTAAATATAAGTATAATAAACCATGTTTTAATTCATACTATCTTTTCACCTTGAAAGTTACAGTTACAATGGAATCTTGTTCCCCACTGTTCATTGTAAACCTTGAAATGAAGTAAAAATTAGAATTTGATGTTTACAGCCTTACCATGCATACATTTACATAAAACTTTCTTTATCACTTTTTCTTTACACATGAGAGCAAGAAAAATAGCTATATTTTACATCACTATATCTAACATTCATTGTAGTCGACTGGAAAATTTCCATTTTTTTTTAATTCAAACATAAAAAAGAATAATTTGATGGATCCCATTGAAATTTAAAGTGAAGGTTAATGGCTATATTTTTGTGATTGCCCACCCACATAAAGCAATTTACAATAGATGATTTAAATTACAATTTATGATTTTCAATTAAATAGAGATCTAAATTAATCTTGAATTTTTCTGCATTTTGAAGGATATTTTAAACTCCAAAATAAAGGACCTGATACTGTACCCTTTAGTTTTCCTTTCTATCTATCATGTGTCTATCCAATACTTGTGTTAAAATTTCTTACATTTATTAAAAAAAACTTTCAAACAACCCTACCATGGTACAATATACTTATCTTGCAATTTTACATAAATGAAGCATATTTGAATGTATCATAGCATGCATCTCAGCTCTTTAAGTGTGTTAAAATTCACCGAAGAGAAAAATATTTGTTGGTAATTTAGCTATAAATATGTTAACAGTATTAAAAATATGTTATGCCTTAGGATAAATCCTTATTAATAACTCCCATTATATGCTTGTCTCTATTTTAGATCTAAGTATTCTACAACAAAAAAGGTAAAATTATCCATTACATGGATATCACTAATAGATTTTAAAGAAAATTGATATTATATATTGCACATTTATTGCCATTTTTCAAAATGATGAGTAATCTCATTATTCATATCATAAGCTTGCGCAAAATGAATAATACATAAAAAGGATATTTATATAAAGATATTATCAAAACAACATTGAAAATTACAACATACCACAACAGCCACCAACATCATCTCCTCCAAAAAAAGACCAACAGAAAACAAACAACACATGGTTCAGATAGCCTTACTAGGTACACTACACACACAATATGTGAGAGGTTTAACCAGTTTTACATGCCCCACCTCTTTCCCATTTGCCTATTTAGACCATATGTCTTAAAAGCACTAAACAGAAAACAATTTATTTGTTAAATCAGTAGAGTTTGTCAAGTTTGGAACTTTATCCACTAATTATATGATTTAAATGAGACAAAGAGTTGTATATTACTTATATTCATTATGGTTCAGGACAGACAACCACATCGACTAACTCACAAAAAGACAGATGCACAGACTGGAAAATAACATTTATCCCTACTATCCCAGGCGAAGCATTGTAAAAGAACTATATCAGGTCTTCCACTATCATTTACTAAGAAATTTCATTACCATTTCAAAAGTGTATTTATTTCAAATTCTTTGGTTAATTTCATAGAAAATGAAAGTATCTTTTAACTATCAGTAGTAAATACATCCAATACATTTGAAATGGAGAATATTGATAGTCACAGCTAAACTTAAAACTTCATTTTCTTTATTGAACAAGCTGTAATTTTACCATTAAATTAACTAAACATCTTTTATTTCAAACATAACATGCTAAACATTCAGATTGGACACTTCTACAATAATTCACTTATGGAGTAGGCAGTTGTTTATACTAGGAATACATACAAACTTAATAACTTAAGAATCAAACCTGTCAAACTTACACTTGTTTTCTAATCGTACATTAACAATTATACAACAGCTAGGTTTACTCCTACCCCTTGACATGTATTCAAATATTTGCCATGTGGTTTGCCAAATCCTTTAAGACAAGCAAGGAGGCCAATATATTAAACAAAAAAAGAACTTGGAGCACTAAATAACAATTCTTTTGGGTATATGCATCATTAAAATGTGCCATATGAATAAGAGATATGGGTACACATCAATGCAACAGCAAACCAACAACATAAAGAAACAAAAGACATCTAGCCTCAACATAACTGCCTTTAACAAAAGATAAGTTTCTGTACCATATATCAAGCTTCAAATGACCTCAATATAAATAAGAAGATGTGGTATGAGTGCCAATGAGACAACTCTCCATCCAAGTCACAATGTATAAAAAGTCAACAATTATAGGTCAAAGTACGGCCTTCAACACGGAGCCTAGGCTCACAATGAACAGCAAGCTATAAAGGGCCCCAAAATTACTAGTGTAAGAAACAAGTCTAGAATTAATAAAAAGTTGTAAAGAAATATAACAGAGACTATCAAAGATCTGTAACAAGAAAGAATCTTTTAAATAACACAAACCAATGGTACATGAAAAATGGCAGGGTTACATTTGTACATTAGTTTATACCTTTATTTCAGTAAAGGGTATGGTATGTGAATGAGAAAAAAGTTGAACAGTACATAACACAAATGTGTCCATATAAAACACCATGCCCTGCTTGCACATTCATATTTCTATGTTCAGTAAACCTGACAAATCTGGTTCAAACCTTAATATGGTACATATTTTTAAAAATTCACATCATAATAATCATGTGAACTAAGTTTCAAAAGTTGATGTGACCACCAAATTTTACCCTAATACGGATGAGGTGAAGGGATAGACCAAAAAAAATGGATGTACAGACAGGAAAATAAAATGGCCACCTACTATCATAGGCAGGTAATAAAAAAAATATGATGACTTTCACTATTGCTTGATTGATGATTCTTTTATATCCAGTGGCATATCACATGAAAATTCAGAACAGTTACATGTTTATATTGTGATTTGATTGAATATATTGAACAAGAGGGCCATGGTGTCCTAGTCTGATTTTTTATTTGCTAGCTTGTTATGTAACAGACCACAGGAAGATTTAACTCACTTCTGACAAAAATTACAAATATATTTTCATATAAAAGAAGATATATTTTGAAGAGAGAATATAATTTTTTAACCAGGATAAAAACAAACCTGACTTTCTGTTATTTTTCATTATGGTTGTTGTGCTCTATATTATTAAGGAGTCAATCAGTAAATTTTTTGTGTAGTTTCACTATTTCATTCAATCAACTGTCATTCAATAGCTGTTTAATCCATGGAAAGGAAATATTCTTAAACAAAATTACAATGTTTTGTTAAAGTACAAAGATTCAAAGTTTAATTTTGCAAATTAGTGAGATTTTGAAAAATATTTGACTTTATTTAGGCAAATATGACCCTTTGCAATACCTTCACCAAAATTTTCACTTTTACCTCATTAGATTATACAAAACAAGAATGTGTCCATAGTGCACGGATGCCCCACTCGCACTATCATTTTCTATGTTCAGTGGACTGAAATTGGGGTCAAAACTCTAATTTGGCAGTAAAATTAGAAAGATCATATCATAAGGAACATGTGTACTAAGTTTCAAGTTGATTGGACTTCAACTTCATCAAAAACTGCCTTGACCAAAAACTTTAACCTGAAGTGGGACCGAAGGACAAACGAACGAACAGACGAACGAACGGACGCACAGCCCGAAAAACATAATGCCCCTCTTTTATCGTAGGTGGGGCATAAAAATCCACAATAACAGGTACTCATGTTAACAAGAGTGGACACACAGAAATGTCTTGCCTGTGGTGTATTTCTTATTGAAGTTATGTTGAAAGTAAATGCTATCAGACATACATTATAAATTTTAAGCTGTAAATAAAGAGACAATGTCGCTGCTGCTGATGCCTGAATGAACACTAAAGCTGCTGACAGGCCTGCTGAAGACAAATATCATAGTGTCTTCATACTACTAATTGTATAGTTTATTATTCGTTAAATGAAGATATGCTGGATAACTGTGGTTAAGAGTGAAATAACTTAGTGATATACTATTGATATTGATTATTGTGATTAAAGATGGCAGTGAAGAATGAAAAAAACTAACATTGACCTATGAACCATGAAAATCAGGTCAAGGTCATATGAACCCTACCAGACAGACAAATATGCCTTACAATCATTCCATACACCAAATATAGTTGACCTATTGCTTATATTTTCCAAGAAACAAAGTTCAGCATTAAAACTTAACATTGACCAATGAGCCATGTAAAAAGGGTTAAGGTCATATGATACCTGGCGGACAGACATAAACACCTTATAAACATTCCATACACCAAATATAGTTGACCTATTGCTTATAGTTGAACAAAAATAGACCAAAACACCAAATTTTAACACTGAGCAATGAACCTTGAAAATCAGGTCAAGGTCAAATAAAACATGCGAGACAGACATGTACATCCTAAAATATTTCCATACACCAAATATAGTTCACCTATTGCATATAGTATAAGAAAAAAGGACCAAAACTAAAACACTTAACTTTGACCACTGAACCATGAAAATGAGGTCAAGGTCAGATGACACTTGCCAGTTGGACATGTACACCTTACAATCATTCCATAATCCAAATATAGTTGACCTATTGCTGAAAGTATTAGAAAAATAGACCAAAACAAAAACTTAACATTGAGCAATGAATGGTAAAATTGAGGTCAAGGTCAAATAAAACATGCCAGACTGACATGTACATCGCAAAATATTTTCATACACCAAATATAGTTGATTTATTTTATACAGTATAAGAAAAACAGACCAAAACACAAAAACTTAACTTTAACCAATGAACCATGAAAATGAGGTCAAGGTCAGATCACACCTGCCAGTTGGACATGTACACCTTACACTCATTCCATACAC